AGTGATCGCAGGTATTGGTATGTGAAATGCCGCTCACATGAATCTGCTTCCTACGCCGCATCGCCGCAGCGTGGAGTCACTGCACTAAACCTCAGCTGCTGAGCCCTTCCGTAGCAGTTATCACCACCGAGAAGCATGCGGAATGCAGACTGACTGACTCAACATCCACGGTGTCTCCTCCATGCTCTCTGCTCTCAGGCGGCAGCATCTCTAGGCATTTTCAAAAAAATATTCTAACAAGTCACAAAATGAGAGCTTAGAACCAGACAGAGAGCACAAGGGAGAAACAGCATGAAACAACACACAGAATATTACGAAAGCACGGAAAAATCGTCAGCAAACGTCTACGAGAAGAAGTTCCAACGTCTGTTGTCTGGAGGTTTCGATGGTGCTTGTCTCCTTGCAAGACGTCATGTTGGAAGGAGCACAATAACAACACAAACCCTGAGAGGTACTTCCTAAGATACCGATATTTGCAGGCAGAACTGCTCACATGAGGCGGAGGTGGTGTAGTGACAAGTGGCGCGCTTACCACTCGCGCGGCGCCGGGTTCGAATCCCGGGTCGACACCCGCCCAGGCCAACCAAGCCTTCTACCGGGACGGTAAATTGGTACCAGATTCGTCTGGGAGGATAAAACACTGACTTGTACATCGGCTGGCCACCGCAAGTCATTGTATAGGCCACATCGCATTCAATAAGCCACTACGATTCTGAATGGCATTTCTCATTTGTGCATTTCTGTATGCGTCCAAGCTACTGGAGACCCGGCGGCCTGGAAGGTCGCTACTCTCTTTGCCATCGCTATCGTCTCCACTGTGTTGATTTGAGGTACTAGTTGCCAGTCCTACGTTTGTTGAGGGGGAGGGGGGAGGAGATCGCCAGCTTTGAAAGGATGCTAATAAGTAGCGGATAGAACCCTAAAGACGAGTGACTATTCAAAGAATAATGAAAATAAAAAAATCTTTAAAAAAACAGCTTGTAGGCGGTCCAATCTGGACAGGCGGCCCAATCTGTTGTTTGGAACGGTGATCAACATTCAATGACCTGATCTACGCTCGTGCTCCCCTATTGGAATCTGATGTGTTCCAGATCCTGTAAACGGCCCCATCGTTGAATGGTTCCGTTCATCATCTACTCGAAGGTTCACCGGTGCACACCAATAGCGCATTAATTTTTCGGGATAAGTAGCCAGGATTCCGGAGAATGGTTATGCATATACCTCGTAGACTAGTCTAACGTAGTAGACATGCATAATTTTGATTGCACCGAAATTCTAATGTACCCCGTGGAGAAGTACATCGTGTACACGAATTCTCTTCAAGTGGAGCCTTTATGGAGCCGTGGTGCAGTTAAGTGGCGACAACGGAGGTTACAAAACCGGCGCTCACAGGGGCTCTTGCGCTACTTCCTTTTGCTAGTTCATGTGAACTAGTAGAACTACCTGTGGTGAGACTTGTGAACTTTTGTGAAGCCACGAAATGGTACTGAGCCAGCCACGTTGGCTGCACGATTGCATGGGTTTTGACAAGGTGAGCTGTACAAACTTTGCTGAGCACCATTTTGGGCCCTCCAAGCCGAACCACGCCGCGAAACCTAAATGAACCAACCGAGTGTCCAGGAGTTTTCGAAGAGGGTGAGGATCCCTAACTCGCTCACTTAACACGCAGTGGTAGAAAATAGTGAAAAATCGTTATAATTTTTGAATTTCCACCTGTTTAAAGTCGGGCCTTATGGTTTTCCATCTTAATTGAAGTAACACATGTATTAGAACATCGGAGTTCATCTTAATTAGTAACACATGTATTAGAAGATCGGAGTTCATCTAAACTGAGTTTTTGTACTGGGATCCTGTTTTGTGTACCTACATCTAAACTGAGTTTTGTTTGAAGTTAAGGTGCTCAGAAGCCAGGGAGAATTTTTAGCTTGGCACTTGTTTTCTTCCACGTAGGTGTTGGAAGAAAACGCAAATAAAAAGGCAAAAAACAACGAACCTTAGAAGGGGGGGGGTCGCACAGACTCGACCAAAATCCCCAACCAATGATGTGCCCTGACTGACAGTCACACTCAATAACGATGATGAACACTGCTCAGAGCAGTCGTACCCCAAACGTGCCTGAAAGGTTTGCGGATTGCTTCCGATATCGTGTTATGCTTTAATAACAATATTTTGAGAAATTTATTACTAACTACACAGCTAAAGTCAACACAAAACACAATCGTAATACTTCTTCAAATATAAATAAATTAATGTCACAAATAAACAGACTGTAGGAACAAACAAAGCATTGACCAGAAAATATAACAGGTGACCGGTTGAACCAATTTAACTTCCTGTATTATTACCACTGCTGCTTGCGTGGCTGTGCTGCAGCAGTACCGCTGTTCAGCGTTTTGAAAAATGCGTTCCAAGCAGCTGAAACAGAAACGTCATTGTCCCACTTCCTGGACTGCTTCGAAACCGTTAAGAAAAAACAATAGTTTTCGTCGCAGAGGTTGAAGCGTGTAAAAGAGGCCGGGTCTGGCGCGGCGCCACCCCTTTTCCGCAAATTGTTCAAGCGGGCAAGCGACAATAATTGGTGGGAGTTGGCTACCGCGGCGCAGAACTCAGCCTGCCTCTCCCCCCCCCCCTCCGATACACTCCAGTGTCTGCAGCGAAAAGGACTAAAGGTGCAGATGTAGCATAGGTCTGTTTCTTCACTGAGAGTTAGCTGACAGTTCCTTTTGCAGATTAATGAGGTGACGCGTCACATAACACGATATAACTGGCCATGACGTTTCAACATGTCGTTTGCGTGTAAAGTGACGTCATTGACACGTCATTTGTCTCTAAAGAGGTAACACACTGGACCGCGTACCTGTGCTACATCAGCGCTACAAAGTGACACAACCCTTAAACGATAGAAGACCATACCGCTGATCAATTCCGGATTCTTCTGGTTGAGATTCAATGCATCTAATCCGCTGGCTATCTGGTTTGAAGCGGCTTGGCCAAACGATCTAAAGGAACACAGAAAATAATAATAAGAAATCGAACACATAACGAACACCCAGACACCCCTCACTTACCCTTCTCTAGGATCCCTGGCATACATGTACGGGGGCACGACAGGCGAAGGCCGTTGTGCTCCTTTCTGCAAAGCCGCTGCACCAGCACCACGGCTTGTACGGGGGGTACTTTGAGCAGCTGGGGGTGGTGCTGTCCATCCTTCAAAAGGCGGTCGAGGGAACACACCAGCAGGGCTGTAGCCAAACATTTCCTAAACATAGAAACTCTCCTAAACATAAGCGACCGAAAAACTTATGTAACCTCATTTTACTTTGAATTCTAATGCCTAGTTACAGTCAGTAACGCGTTTTTTTCTTGATGAGCAAAAGCCGTGCTGGGACAGGGTTGTCTCGCCGGCAAGCATAGAGGATGCATCAATTTTGCGGTTCAGAAACAAGTGATAGGTACGCCACCCGATTGCGAGAAAAGCAATGCCCCGCCCATTGCTCCATACCACACCCAGCCTTCTCTAAGGAGTTACTGATTGGGCTGTTCCGCTACCAAGTCTTTCCATTCCGATTGGTGAAAGTGAGGTCAAAAGGGACTGATATCGTTGTGAGGCAACTAGTAGTGAAAAATCTATCCAAGCATGCTCTCTATTCGTCTTAAGCGCTCGCGTAAGCTCAATATGGCAACGCATCATGTACCATCGGACGGTTTTGTTCTTCTTTTTTCACCCCTAGCTACTTACTACTTTATAATTAGCATTCGAGCATAACAATTCATCATTTTTCATCACAGCACCTCTCCCTCCAGTCTCTCAGAGCTCAAGACAATTACGAAAATTTGATAAAAAACGTGGACGCAAGCAAAAAAAACATGTATGTTCTAACGAACCGTCGCAGCAGGTGGAAGTAGACCAACTGGCGTCTCGTCGTATACAGCGCCACCTTTTCCGTAAGGTGAGGCGTATGCAGAGCCGAAATCGTATCCAGTTGGCACCTCCGATCCAGGTTCACCGGACTGTTGTGAACTAGCACGAGGGACCGCAAACGTCACAACGACTGACATACCGTCAATAACGAAATTGTTCGACCTAAATACATCAAGTGGTGCTGAGACGTCCGGCTGAAGAAAATACGTTAGATATTTAGGAGCTAGCCACTACTAGATTTTTTTTACTTGCCATCTGTATTTCCCACGACACTGGGAAGTCGCGGCAGTACTACGCCCCGTGCACTGTTCGTCTGTGCTAAAGCAAAGCCTACTGTAGGAGTGGATCACTGAGGCGAACACGTCTTAGCGAGAGGGCGTAGACGTGCAAAAAGGCCTGGTTTAGTCGCGTTGTGCCAAGCGAATCCAGTTTTGCGCCAAGGGGATAGTGATATAGGCTTCTGTTCAATCACAATTCTAAACGGAGGAGCGCTCGGGGTTAATGAACCAATTCAAAAGATGGTACTCGAATCCAGGTGATGATAAACAAACTTCTACACCGGCGTTTCTTCGAACAGCGTCCCCAGCGTTATTAACACATTGAACGCCGCGGCGTTTTTGCGGCGACTCCCGTTTTTACTCCCTGCGTCTCGCGCGCGTGAATTGCATGCAATACACAAACGCGTGAAACGGAGTCTTTGTGCCGCATGCCCCTTTACACGCTCATTCTGGTTACTTTTGCGCTCATTTCTACATTGTTCATTATGAATGATGACTTCTTATAGCTGCATAAATGGATCTGGACAACGTAGAAGATTTAACCGTCAGTTTTGACGACATAAGTATTGTCATCATAATCAATTAAACACTATCAAACGTGTTGTAAATTACCTCTTATTATCACTAGAAGTCTTTTACCACTTATTATCACTAGAAGTCTTACTACCATTGTAGTGATGCGGAGCTATCATAAGAAGTGCAATTACCGACCGCGCCACTGACTGTATTTTGTAATATTAATGAATTACTTCAATGAGCAGCTTCTTTCGCGCCATCAAGAACTAAGCATAAGCAAAGCTCACTGAACATATACTTGGTGAATGATTCAAGTCGCACTCATACCCACGAAAAAAACCCGATTCACAGAACGTGAATTGTGGGAAATACCCGCGAGAAACGGGAGTATGCGCGTGTATTGCCGACAATTCACGCGGCGTTCAATGTGTTAAAGGATAAAGTAGTCCTTGCCGTTGATCCAATTCCTTTATGGACAGTCATTCTACTTCAGCTTACCAGCAAAATCTAGGTGGTTAGCTAGAATGCGATGTAGCCCCATTACATGACCTGGGGGGGGGGGGCTAGCCCAGTGCAAGTCAGTGCCCGTACCGTCCCTCCCTCCAGACAAACCTGGTCTCCGAGAGGGTCAGACTTGGTTGGTTTAGGCAGGACCCGGTCCGAGACTTGACTACGAACCGCCCGCCGAGTAGGTGTGTCCTAGCCAGTACATCCCTCACAGAAGGTTATCGCAATAGAAATGGAGCCCAATGGTTCAGATCCAAAATGATCACGTACTTGACCATTTTATCAGCGACTCCCGAGTGCGAGAACGTAACGAAAGCAAAACCACGAAAAGGTCGTGGAATTTGAACATTGGTCACCTGAAAAGTAGCACTGTAGCAAGTGAACGTAAGTAAATGACCAAGGAAATGTAACTTAACCGCCCGGCACTCTTACCGATGCTGATTCCTTAACAGCTTTAGCTTCTTTGTCGAAGAACTTTCGCAAAGTCTCCTCCGTGACTGCAGAGGTAAGGCGACCGACAAATATTTTATCGGGTCTCCGTGTTACAATGCGTTTTCCATTGGCGTCGATACGCTGAAACAATAGCCCAGATTTATTCGCACTGCCTCGTGCCCCATCATTCAGCACCAAAACAACCTTGACAATTATAAACTCCATCATAAAGCATGAAAACACCTTACTTTCTTATCAGGAATGCGAATTTCACAGCGTCTTCCATCGATTGTGTGATCGAAAGTCTCCATTATTTTGTCCTGCTCTTCCAGTGTGCTCATTTGTACAAATCCGTATCCTCTGGATGAACCGTCTGGATTCTTTTTGACCTGAGCAAAAAAAAAATATAGCGGAATACTTCACTTTATAGACACCGTCCAGAATAGCCGGATAGGCAAAGCCAGCGAAAGACCTCATTAGCGCGCTCCTCCTGATCTATTAATAAGTTCACGGGAGCCTAAAGAGAAAGGCGCTAATGAAACATTTCACGAATCCGACCACAATACCGTGTCTTTAACAAGCTTTGCCCGGATCACTGATCCACAGTATTTGTTGCCTCTAATGCTTGTGTATTCACGCAGGGCAGCGTGCCAAGTCTTCCGGTCCGGTCAGCTCACCACAGCAGTTTCACCGCTCGCCTCGATCATCAGAGTTATCGCAAGGCCTAATTTCAATATAAATGAGGGACCCATGAAGGATTTATCAATTGTTCCACGAATTCTTCACTTCGACGGCGCCGTAGGGCTTTTCATAGTCTTTTTTCACGAAAGTTTCAGCAGTTGTGAGTTATGCGTTTAGAATCTTGTTTGGACCAATAGCACCTGCTAAAACGCAGTGCTTCAGGAACTATGCTGAGCACTTCGATACTGAATGATCACAGTGACTTTATTAGTCATGTTAACCGTGCCAACGGTGAGATGTAGCGCTCGCGGGTTGACGGTGACGTGACCTATCGGGAGACTTGTTACCTCCCTATTCATGCAATGTTAAGAGGAAGGGTAGGGTATCGTAACTCAAATCGGCGTCAAATAAATTGTGTCCGCACGGGACGTACGTATAACTCTGCAGCACTGTTCAGGAATATTCGGAAACTCTTGGCAATTGGTGATGTTTTCTTTAGCCTCGAAGCAGAAGTTTTGATTGTTTGGCACATGCAAAGAGTGACGTGCATTCAACAGACTATCGGAGTATGGTGCTGTCCCGGAGTCTCATTTCTTATCTGAGTGTGTAACAACAATGTGAAACTCCAAAAGTTTATTCCAAAAAACTCAAAAGACAGTGAAAGTCTCAAAAGTTTATTATAATATATCTTAACTTGCAATATTTCGGTGCGTAGCACCTTCGTCAGGCCAGTTGTCCCGAAATGAAACATTCAGCACGTCGCGACAGACAAAGTATGATTTCTAACCCTAGCTAGTTTTCACCGTCAATTAATCAACTCCTCCCTGTTTCTGAGGAAAACTCTGAAAAAACTGTACCCGCTGGAGAACTACGGCCGAGGGATTATCACGCTGCAAATGACTGAAGAAGACACTTTCAGTGTGGCAGTTCCTCAAGTAACCTAGGACCTATGTTAATCACGGGAAAACAAAACCTCGCAAACTTGGTGATAGGTTTAACACATTGACGACCGCGTGATTCGCATCCAATGCGCGCTTTGTAGGCCGCGTGGGACCGCGCGAATTGTATACGAATCACGGTGAACAAATCCATATCTTTCACTAGTGCATGATTTATTGTTTAGTTTCTCCTATTCATTCTATAGTCCAGTCCTTAGTATACTCGTACAGCGCGTGGTCCATGGAATAGTTCAGTACACAATAGTTTAGCAAAGACTTTTTGGGGAAACATCATCCTTTGCTTGGATTGTTTTGCTCCTTTACTCTGGATTGGTTTGCTGATTAACTTTCTGCCAACAAATACAGACAATTACAATATTGATAATGATGAAAAAATATTAGGTGAAGGATTCTGAATCCTATAGAAAGCACGATTTGCGTTTTTTTATGAATTGTTGGTTACAGACTATTTCCTGGCCCTGGTGCAAAGAGAGTTGGCCAGCCCAGATTTTTCCGTGGTAAATAATTGACTTACTTCTTAACTGCTCTAAAAACTAGGTTTTTCGATCCAATCTCCTAAAAAAGCGCTTCGTGGGACGGCCTGAAGTGTATGCATGCCGCGCTTGTGCCGTTCAAGAAAGCGCGCCGGTCCCACGTGGCCGAAAAGTAAAAACCCGCGCGGTCGTCAACGTGTTAAAGGCACACTGTGCCATCACCCGAGAGGTGGGTCCCTTTTCACGTACAAGGTGAGCAGATGCACAGCTATAGAAGTGCGCCACTTTCATCGGTAGGAAGTGGCATGGAGGCTAAATTCTCAAGGACTGTTTGATGTTACCAATATTTTTATAAACATACTTGGATGCGAAATAGCTCCACGTGGCACGCGCTGCTCGTGTGCGCCCTCTTATCGAGGTGGTCTTCTTCTCAAAACCGTTCCGTAAATTCTAAACGCGAACATCTGCTCAGCGTCTCCGCCCCCGTTTACCAGTTACGTTGACTTATTGTCCTTTCCTGGCCAGCGAGCTGTCCCTGAC